ACGGTTTTTATGTTTGATTGACCATTGAATTAGTAAATTTATTCCTCCTTTTCAAAGAACGCAGAAATTTATTTATAAAATTATCACCACGCTTTGTAATTTATCGAGGATACTGACAGCACAAGAATTTTCGTCGGAAAATGTAAGTAAGAATCCATAGTAATTAATAAAAAATTCCATTTTTTGCACAATTTTTTGCTGAATGAAACGTAAATTTTACGCAGATTCAAATGTAAATTTAATTAATTAAATGATATCTATTAAGATCATTTTCCAAATGAATTTTTCTCCGTTGATCAACAACTCGATTTGATCTTCCAAGTACACAGAGATAAATTTTTTAAAAACAATGTAGTGGTCCATCAGAAAAAAACCGCAAACTGGTAACCCGAGAAAAATTGAAATGTGGAATCTAAATTGTATCTGGATGAAATTGTCACAATAAAAGTGACTCACCATTACCATTCAAGTGTTTCACTAGATTTTTCCTCAATTTTTTTCTCAATGGAAAATCACACGATTTTATCCAAAATTATTAACAACTTTTTGCTTTTATTTCATATAATCGTCCCATAAATTCTCAAATGAATAATTAAATATTTCAAAATCTCCGTGAAACATTATATCAACGAAATCTTCCATCTAAAATTTAAATGTTGCAAAAATCTCCAATAAATCCAGACAATAAATCTAAACGCTTTTCTCGCGGAATTACGAAAACAAATCTCACCTGTGATTCACTATATTTTCATCAAGAAAGTCATTAGACGTAAACGATTAAAAACTATCGTTAATGTTAAAATACGAGGAACGTGATGGGCTCACCCTATATTTGAGTTAAAAAATTGAGCAACTTGGGATTGCTTTAACGAGAATGTCGAGTGTCTATTGCGGGTAAGAAACGAGGCCACCCGAGGCTTTTTGGCGACGAGGACGACGATTATGAGTGTAAAAGATATGCCGGGTGGGGCATTGAAAAAAAATGTTAAAAAATAAAAAGAACAAAGGGACAGAGAAAAAAATCTATGAGTGTCGATCGTGATTCGCATGATCCGATGGAGAAGAGGAAGAAAAGGAGGGATCCATCATGAAGGTATGCAATACTGATGCTACAATAGAACTAGCTTTCTAAAACATCCCAAACAAACATTACCGAATAGGTACAACTGAGCGATAAATGGAGCTCATAAAATAACGTAGAATGAAGTGAATTCTGTCTGCAGTCGACGGGTTAAAAGAACCCAGCCCTTTTACTCTTATCCTGAGGCTCATCGCTGTTTATTCGTGTTATGCCAGAGGTGAGACCAAACACGCTGATAAAACCATTACGGGAAGGACAGGGTAAACTAAAATATAACAGCAATAACTACGATAAACACACCTTAAAGTAATTAATTCTCACCACATAATTAATTGACGAATAGTTTGTTATTATTATTTAATGAGAATAGGTGCCCGGGGGAGTTTATATATTGTACGACACCCCCTTTGCACTCCCTTTGCAAAAAACATGAAATATCAATAATTATATCAATTTAGTTGGAATAATAATAATGATGTTGATATTATTATGGTAGAATAAGAAGTGCGGAATTCGTACTTTAATGCCTGTTACCAATTTTGATAATCTTCAAATTTCGATTTTACCCAGTCACGTATATCCATCATCAAAGTTTTTTATTTTAAGTAGTGGAAGTTCAAAATTTTCATTAGTTGTGGTTAATTAAGGATGTTCTGCCCCTTTCTAGCCAAAATTACCGGTTTTTTCCGTTTTCTGATGAATTGTCTTCGCATTTTATGATCTTTTAGAACTTCCCAAATATGACATTAAAAAATTATTATTGTTTTTATAAAATGTTTCAGGCCAGAAATATTCTCAAATATTGCAGGGAATCCATGAAATCTGTGTAAAATCGGTATTATT